GCTTGTTAAAATAATTAAAAAGCATGTAGACTTTAGGCCAGAGTTCTTTCTGTTAGGTATAATACCAGAAAGTGTTGATAAATAAAATGTATATTTAATATTGCATATTTTAACAGCCGCGAGGATTATATATGTATAGTACTGGAAAAAGGAAGGAACACCTACAAATCAAGAAATTATTAAAAAGATACTGGACTGCGCCGAAATGGATAGACTAACACTGAAAATCAAAGGAAAAGAAGATACAAAATATTATCAAACATGGGACTTGTTCTATCAATGGTTAGAAGGAAGGACTGTATAGATCAGGAGCGTAATGTGTAAGGTAGCTGTTTTAACAAATGAATGTAAGCTGTACTCAGGTGGCACGATGTTAAATCAACATGGATTTTATATAATAAAAAACTCAAAAAAGATTAAACAAGGCATGAACTAGGCTCTACCACCCCCATTCTTTAATACTTTTTGAACACCAAGTCTAAATCCAAATTGTAAACTTTCATTAGCAACATTTCATGTAGGAAGAAAGCTACACCTATTCCGGGTACGGATTTCTCCCCACATGACGTTTTTCCTGCATAGGCAACATCTCTAAGCAAGAACATGTGCGGTGTGGAGCGTCAACCACGTGTGTTCCTTTTGTCGTGAATCGATTTCCACACCCACTGTCCTAACGGGGGGGAGACAGCGTATCAGTCACGTCAAATCCCTTTCGGTCTCTGATCCTCCTCAAGTATCTTGCCCCACACCTGTCCCCACAAGAGGGGTTTCAACAGAAAGACCCAAGGGCAGCGTTGCCTCTCGCGGCCATGGGATTCTTGAGGCCTCTCCGTTCCCTCATTTCAGGTGCAACGGCGAAAAGAGAGAGTTTGTGTGGGCGGGATGTTCCATCGTAGGCCTGGATGCCTTTTTTAAAATGTCACTCGACGCCACCTCGCTTCCCTTCCTGAGGAAAACGAAAGGGTGCCCAACGTCTGACCACGCCCCCTCTGGCCAGCACAACGGCTCTTCTCCCCCCCTTTTCCCCCTCTCCTCCAGGCTTTTTGTCCGACCAAAGGAAAGAGACGATCAAGTGTTGTTGTTTTTTAAAATGACCCTGGGGAAGAGAAAGACCAGATCCAGGGAGGGCGGAACCTCCAAGGCCCGGCGTGAGGAAAGGCCGCCTCATCTCCCGCCTCCTCGGCCTCCCTCAGGAGCGCTTACCTGGCTCCAGGTGATAAGCTGGTTACTCGGCGCGTCGCCCACCAGCGTCCAGAGTTTAGTCAGAAAGGCCGGGACTGCGGTCGCGCCTCCCGTATTCGTCGCCGCGGCCACCGGCTGCTGCTTCATTGTGGCTCTGGAATGAACGGAGAGCCGCCTCGGCCTCGGTTACTACCACCACCCCTTCTTCCGTCGCGCCTGCGCGGGCCGCGACACGCGCGGAGGCGCGAGCCTTTCGCCCCTCCCTTTACATAACAGGCCCACGTGCGCGGCCCTCACGTGCCACAACAGCGCACACTGCCCGCTATTATTGGACGAGCTGTTGCAGGTTCCGAAGGATACCCGTTGGCTGGACACGAAAGGAGGCAGGATTTTCCTCCGACGTGAAATGCAAAATAGCTAACCCGCGCAGACAATCGGGGAACGGTTGTCCTAATAAGAACGGAAGAATCGTGCGTATGCACGTGTTTGCGAAGGGGAGGAGGCATGGGTTGACAATCACGTAGGAGAGGCAGGCGTTTCCACAGCAACGCAGAGAAAGAATGGCTGCCGATTTGGAGGAGCCACTGAGACTTAGAGGGAAGTTTAGCTTCGTTACGCAGTCACTTGCAAATATCCTTGTTAATTTCTGTGGTTAATATATATATATATATGTATATGTATATGTACATATATGTATGTATATATATATGGTTGCGGTGTAAAATTGCAGTTCTAGGCATATAGAGCTAGAAGTAACGCCAGATGAATGTAATTAGGTGTATTTCTATAAAAAGTGAAGATTTTGAAGTTTTGAGTTATACGGTGTTCACGCTCAGGAGTACATATGTTTTGAAATAGGTTTTTATTACATTTAAAGTGCTAGATGGTTTAGTTTGTATTTGTGCAAAACCGTTCTAGAACTGAGGAGGTGGTTGCAAATAATGGTAAAGTTGTAAATACAGTATTTTATTTTAAATGACAGAGGTATAGCAAAGTTAACGTTACCATTACAACATCTAAAGGGATAACGTTAGTGTTTTTGCATTGTGAATTACTGTTTTAATTATTTATTACAGGTGTGGCTTAAGTGTATTTTCTACCATAGGCTAATAGCATTTGGTTGTTTTAAAAGGTAACTAAAAGTAGATAGTTAATTTGTTTTTTAAAAATAAAAATAGCAAAACATTGCTTTTAACTATTCTAACTATAACAATAAATAAGTACAGTACTTGGAAATGTTTGTGTAACTAGTTACTTTTTTCAAAGTAAAGTTTGGAGTTCTGGTTTCATGTTCTCAATTATTTTAAAACCCTTTAATACTATTATAAAGGCTCTACTGAATGCGATTATAAACTAGTTTTCCAGGCAGAAAATTGATTAACTAAAACCGCATGAGGACTGAGGCTTTGAGACCCTGGGACCCAGTCCAGCATTATTCAGGCCCAGCAGGGTCTCTGGGTAAGCAATGTATACAGTGTGCCTTAGTATGTATACAGGATGCTCATGAGCCCTGCCACAATTGGCCACCTTGAATAGGTGCTCTTATATCTGCTCCTAATATAGTTTGACCAGATTTTAAAGACTTGTTAAATAGAGATACTTGTTAATATAAATGTAAAATCATTAATTATGAGAACAAATGATATTATATCAGGTTATCAAAAATCGCTATTTAATGCCTGTTTAAAAATCTAGTCATAAACCTATATTAGAAGCACACGTATTGCTTTCCCTTTTCAGTTGTTATGGCTAAGTGAGATGGAGCACCTGGTTGGGAGTTTGATTCTCTTGTGTGCTTTCTAAGAGGAAAAACTTGCATCCCACAGCGACTCCAGAAGAATGGAATAGTAAACCATTTGGGGAAAAACTATACATAGAAATCCTGGAAAAGGTTGCCATAACTTGGAACTGACTTGATGGCATGTGATGAATATTATTTGCTATTCAGTCTTTTCATAAGTGACTTGTAGATAAACAATGAAGTGGCCAGCTTTTATAATAGGTTTAATAATAACAGTGATGTGCAAACTCAGGCAAAAGAATTTCAAAACAATATTTCCATAGGGAAAGAATGAGTAGCAAAAGGGCAAGCAAGATCAAATGTAAGTGATACACACTTGTAGCAACACATGCCAAATAAGCATATTCATTTGCTGGTTTAAGTTTAGAGTAAATGCTCATTTTATTTAACATGGCACAAATCTAATAAATTGGAAGCTAAGCTTGATGCAGTCACAGACATGCCCTGTGATCAGAAATGGTGTTGTGCACTGTGACACCCGTAATCCGGGTCGTGAGGTGATGCTGGGAGTGCCGTCCCGCCCTAAAGCCTCCGTGGGCACTCAGCCCCCAAGCCGTTCCCACCCCGGATGTTACACCAGTCCGTTGACACCGTGGACTTGGAAAGGGGACTGAAGGGGTTAAATATAGCTACCCAGACTCCTCTGGTTTGGGCGGGAAAGGGGGGCTAAGTACCCAGAGGAGGGAGCTGTGGGAGAGGTCAGTCACCGATGAGCTGGGGAAGAAGGTGGATGGGAATGGGTGTCCATCCAAGACCCCTGGTCAGGCAAGTGGGAACAGGTGTGTCTCACCAAGCAGGAGGGAGAGGAAAGAAGGAGAAATGAGGCTAGGGTCCGTCCCTCTTATTGGGGAGAAAGAGAGACCTGGGAGTGGCGCCGAAAGTTAGTGGAAGAGAGGAAAAGAGTAGAAAGAGAGAGAGAAGAGAAGACCCGATGGCATCTGGAGGAGCTGAGGAGGCTGGGGGATTGCCAGGACCCTGGGAGCACCCCGGGTCAGAAACCACCGTACCCTGGGGATATGCGGGGCTCGAGGAGACGATCCCATTATTAACGACAGAGCGAGAAGACTTCGAACCCGAAGAACCCTCACATGTTCAGGCCGGTCCGTGGGCGTCGAAGTCAAGTAACCCGTTTGACGAAGATTGGGTGCCCCTGTATGAACCGTTACTTCAGCAGGAGAAGTTCATCCCCAAGTTGATTGACATTTCCATTCCTTTACCCCAGTTAAATAAAGAAGACAAATCGTTTTGTTCAAATGCGTCTATGGCTTTATTGGGGACGGGGGAGGTGAAGAATAGCAGACCCTCACATGCACTGTCACAAATTGTGCTTGTTTTGAATTTAGCACTATGCATACATAATTCTTCAAGCCCAAACCAAGATGAGGAGGAGATACTTAGGACTATCTGATATCTAAGCGCTACTGTATTGTTAAAGGAATCCTCCTGGGAGTTCACCCAGTGTCTGCAGCTTACATCAGTAGCTGCTAGTAGAGTTTTGACAGTGGGAGAGGGGGATTATTTTTCATACTTTGTTATGCTTTTGTATGTGATACCAATGAGACTGGATTATGTGACAATTCAAGTTCCCCCTTACTGGACTTCAAATGGCAACTGGATAATAATGAAAATAAAATTGACTACTGCCAGGCACAGTAAAAGATATCTGGTGCTGATCTGAAACAAGATGCTTGGTTGAGCTTATGACAAGAAAATATTCACCTTCTGCTACCCTGTTTCCCCGAAAATAAGACAGGGTCTTATATTAGTTTTTGCTCAAAAACTAATATAAGACTAATATAAAACTAGGGCTTATTTTCAGGGGATGTCCTATTTTTTTTCATGCACGACAATCTACAGTGGGGTCTCGACTTAAGAACTTAATCCATGTTGGAAGGCAGTTCTCAGGTCGAAAAGTTCTTAAGTCAAATCTGCATTTCCCATAGGAATGCATTGAAAACCATTTAATCCGTATCTGCTCTTTTCGTCCATAGAAACTAATGGGAAGCTCCTATTCCGCCTTCTGCCACTAGAGGGGGATATTTTTTCCTTTTAACCTAAGATGATTTAGCTTTTAAAAAAAGGAAAAAAAGAGTTCGTAACTCGAATCTAAGTTCGTAAGTCGAGTCCATATATTCCTATGAGAGTGGTTCGTAAGTTGAAACATTCGTATGTCGAGCCGTTCATAAGTCGAGACCCCACTGTACATTTATTCAGATACAGTCATGTCATCATCTGGTTGCTGCACAATGGTGGAGGATGGGGTTTCACTTGACAGGCTTATTTTTGGGATAGGGCTTATATTACAAGCATCCTGAAAAAATCATGCAAGGACTTATTTTCAGGTTAGGTCTTATTTTAGGGGAAACGGTATTTTGACATTTTTGCTGGTAGGCATGTTGCAAGATCTCTCTGTTGCTGTTTTTAAACTAGTGATGCATGATGGAGATAAAACAGGTTGGTGGTACAGTATACTGTTGTAGTTGAAAAAAAATGTAATAAGCAGAAAAGCTTAAGTGAACTCTTCCAATACATCCTTTTTTTTTGCTTCAAATTGTGTACCTCCGTATTGTATCTGAGTTCATTGTAGAAGGCTAAAGGCATTGACCTATAAATGCTATTTTAGTAGGATGTTTAAGCAACCCATTCCTACTGAAAATAAATACATTTCAAACCCATTCTTTTGGGGCTCATGTTTTCATGGTGTTCTCTCCCCACTTCCCATACACATGAAATATTCAAAAATTTTATTCCCCTCCCCCCATCATTATCATCAATTGCAATACGATTAGGGACGTGGTGGCGCTGCGGGCTAAACCGCAAAAGCCTATGCTGCAGGGTCAAAAGACCAGCAGTTGTAAGATCGAATCCACGCAACGGAGTAAGTGCCCGTCGCTTGTCCCAGTTCTCGCCAACCTAGCGGTTCGAAAGCATGCAAATGCAAATAGATAAATAGGGACCACCTTGGTGGGAAGGTAACAGCTTTCTGTGTCTAAGTCGCACTGGCCATGTGACCATGGAAGATTGTCTTCGGACAAAACGCTGGCTCTATGGCTTGGAAACAGGGATGAGCACCACCCCCTAGAGTTGAACACGACTGGACAAAAATTGTCAAGGGGAACCTTTACCTTTACTAGGGACCACAGTTATAGGCACCGTTTGTTGTATGCCTTCAAGTCAGAACTGACTTACAGTGAAGTTACCTTAACAGGACTTTCAAGGTAAAATATTAAGGAATGGGTATATTAGCTCCACAATGCCAGAGAGTTTTCAAGGCTGAGCAGGGATTTGAACCCAGGCCTCTTGAATCTAGCCTATTACCCTATCCACTATACCATACTTTCTTGCTGTTTAACCCTAGGATCCCTGTGACTCATGTCAAGGGCAATATCCTGAGTGGTACTAGAAGCATTTCAGGCTCAATCATACTCAAGTTGTAATCAGCAGTATTACTTAGGGAAGGCCATAATTA